GTCCTACCTGTTCCTTGTTCCTACCTGTTCCTTGGTCCTACCTGTTCCTTGTTCCTACCTGTCCTTGTTCCTACCTGTTCCTTGGTCCTACCTGTTCCTCGGTCCTACCTGTTCCTCGGTCCTACCTGTTCCTTGGTCCTACCTGTTCCTTGTTCCTACCTGTTCCTTGTCCTACCTGTTCCTCTACCTGGTATCCTACCTGTTCCTTGGTCCTACCTGTTCCTTGTTCCTACCCTGTGTCCTTGTTCCTACCTGTTCCTTGGTCCTACCTGTTCCTTGGTCCTACCTGTTCCTTGTTCCTACCTGTTCCTCGGTCCTACCTTGTTCCTCCTTGGTTCCTACCTGTTCCTTGTTCCTACCTGTTCCTCGGTCCTACCTGTTCCTTGGTCCTACCTGTTCCTTGTTCCTACCTGTTCCTTGGTCCTTTCCTCGGTCCTACCTGTTCCTCGGTCCTACCTGTTCCTGGTTCCTACCTGTTCCTTGTTCCTACCTGTTCCTTGTTCCTACCAGTTCCTGTCCTACCTGTTCCATGGACCTACCTGCTCCTTGGTCCTTCACCTGTTCCTTGCCCCTACCTGTTCCTAGGTCTACCTGTTCTTTGTGATCCTACCTGTAGTCCTGGTCCTACCTGTTCCTTGTTCCTACCTGCTCCTCGGTCCAGGGGTGTTCTGCTTTCACCAGCGCCGTCTTGTTTCCGGGACGCCGGCATCTTCAGTGTGGGCTGTGACAACTGCAGGTTTGGCTTCACAGCTGAGTGCCCACTGCACATGTCCGAGAAGGTCTGAGCTTTGTGAATGGCCACCTGTAGTCTTCTGGGTCCTGTCATGTGTCACACAAGCCTACGGGGAGGACAACTCTGTGGTCATTGGAGAGCGGGTACTCTGTCAAATCCGGGTACCCGCCCCCTGAGGTTGTCCGCAAAGGTCCACAGTCTCTGGTCATCTGGTCTATGTCCCCTGTTCTATACTATGTCCGCAGTCTCTGGTCATCTCCTGTACTGTGTCCGCAGTCTCTGGTCATCTCCTGTCCTTTACTGTGTCCGCAGTCTCTGGTCATCTCCTGTACTATGTCTGCAGTCTCTGGTCATCTCCTGTACTGTGTCCCGCAGTCTCTGGTCATCTCCTGTACTATGTCCGCAGTCTCTGGTCATCTCCTGTACTATGTCCGCAGTCTCTGGTCATCTCCTGTACTGTCCGCAGTCTCTGGTCATCTCCTGTACTATGTCCGCAGTCTCTGGTCATCTCCTGTACTGTGTCCGCAGTCTCTGGTCATCTCCTGTACTGTGTCTGCAGTCTCTGGTCATCTCCTGTACTGTGTCCGCAGTCTCTGGTCCTGTACTCCTGTACTGTATGTCCGCAGTCTCTGGTCATCTCCTGTACTATGTCCGCAGTCTCTGGTCATCTCCTGTACTATGTCCGCAGTCTCTGGTCATCTCCTGTACTGTGTCCGCAGTCTCTGGTCATCTCCTGTACTGTGTCCGCAGTCTCTGGTCATCTCCTGTACTGTGTCCGCAGTCTCTGGTCATCTCCTGTACTATGTCCGCAGTCTCTGGTCATCTCCTGTACTATGTCCGCAGTCTCTGGTCATCTCCTGTACTGTGTCCGCAGTCTCTGGTCCATCTCCTGTACTGTGTCCGCAGTCTCTGGTCATCTCCTGTACTGTGTCCGCAGTCTCTGGTCATCTCCTGTACTGTGTCCGCAGTCTCTGGTCATCTCCTGTACTGTGTCGCAGTCTCTGGTCATCTCCTGTACTATGTCCGCAGTCTCTGGTCATCTCCTGTACTGTGTCTCCGCAGTCTCTGGTCATCTCCTGTACTGTGTCCGCAGTCTCTGGTCATCTCCTGTACTGTGTCCGCAGTCTCTGGTCATCTCCTGTACTGTGTCCGCAGTCTCTGGTCATCTCCTGTACTGTGTCCGCAGTCTCTGGTCATCTCCTGTACTATGTCCGCAGTCTCTGGTCATCTCCTGTACTGTGTCCGCAGTCTCTGGTCATCTCCTGTACTGTGTCCGCAGTCTCTGGTCATCTCCTGTACTGTGTCCGCAGTCTCTGGTCATCTCCTGTACTGTGTCGCAGTCTCTGGTCACCTCCTGTACTATGTCTGCAGTCTCTGGTCATCTCCTGTACTATGTCTGCAGTCTCTGGTCATCTCCTGTACTGTGTCTGCAGTCCATTGGTTCAGAATATTTTTTTTCTTGTTTTCCTCCTCTAAAATCTAGGTGCGTCTTATGGAGTGATAAATACAATAGTTACATTCCTATTACAAGCATTTTCAATGATACTTACCTAATCTTCTGATCCTTGTTGTATTTCTTACACTTCTTACCACAATATTAATAAAACATACTAAGTATTAAAATGTTTTCTCTACAGGACCGCAGGCACTTACCATGGGGGTCAATCTCGAGCGTCTCTGCAGTGATAGGAAATGTCCACCCGGACACAAATGCCAAATAATAATGGGATTAGGCCTCTGTGTGGACGTCTCAAAAGCCAAAAGCACATTATTTTCAAAAATAACAGGGGCTGTTAATGTGACCTTCGGGAGACCAAAACACACAGATGTTTCATAAATGTACGATTCTTTTATTTGTTCAATGTTCAGATCAGGGAACAAATAAATCCTAATAAAATGTATACAGAGCATGATAGTTATAGTGCCTAATTTTTGGGATGGCAACGCGTTTCGTGGAAACCGCTTCACCCTGAGAGGGAGGGGCGCTGATCATCAAAATGTTGACGTACAGCTCTACAAATGAAACATTCATAAAGACAAAGGAATCACATATCCCAAAAATAACAATAACACAATACCCAACAGTCACATAATACATAGAAGACAATCAGTGGTGTATTTAGGTTTCATGCTACCCTAGGCAACACAAAAATTGTCTCCCCCCCCAACGGAGAGACCCTGACACCGACCAACACCTCCCTCCCCCACGAAAGAGAGCCTGACATTGACCAACAACACCCCAGCCTCCCATACACTGGCAACCCCACCCCCCCCCCCCGGTGAGAGATAAGGCACTCACATTCACAGCTCCGGACATCCACGGGAACAAGAGTCGGGCTCTGCATACACCATCAAGCAGCCTGCAACCTCTCTCAGATCCCACCTGGTCCCTCGTGCTACGTGTGTCCCTTCTTCCATCCCTTCTTTCGGGGGGAAGCGCTGCCCACCTGAACAATGCTGCTGCCCCCTAAAAAAATCCGCCCTAGGCAAGTGCCTTGTTTGCCTTGTGGTAAATACACCCCTGAAGACAATCGAAAGATAATGCAAATGGGTTGATTTACTTAAACTGGAGAGTGCAAAATCTGGTGCAGTTGCATGGCGGCCAATCAGCTTCTAACTTCAGCTTGTTCATTTAAGCTTGGACAATAAAACCTGGAAGCTGATTGGTTTCTATGCACAGCTGCACCGGATTTTGCACTCTCCAGTTTTAGTAAATCAACCCCAATGACTAAAAGGAAAAAAAAAAAAACTGTCTATACTGCTTAAAAAACAAAAACAAAAGACGGAACTGTACATATATAACATGAACAGATAAGCCACACACCTAACAACACCAAAACCAGTCTCTCGGGGGGGGGGGTAGTCAGTCTACTCCAGCCTGAGGGGAGAATGAAAAGGGTGCCAAAACTACACACTATAGCTTAATTCAGAGGTACCTAAATGAAAAACATTCTCTCTCTGTCTCTCCTCTCTCTCTCTGTCTCTCTCTCTCTCTCTCTCTCTCTCTCTATATATATAAATATATACATATATATCAAGTATGTGTGGAAAAACCACTGGTGGACAGAGTGAAGACATACAGCAAAAGCTGCAGTCATGTTTTATACACACAGATTGTAGTCATTGTTGCCCAGGCTAGATACGAAAACCTGTGCCTCCTCGTGTATACCAGTCCATAGAATGAGAATGTCGTCGATGTACCTATACTAAGCCAAAATCTTGGAAAGTATATCCTGTACTATGTCTGCAGTCTCTGGTCATCCCCTGTACTATGTCTGCAGTCTCTGGTCATCTCCAGTACTATGTCCGCAGTCTCTGGTCATCGCAAGTACTATGTCTGCAGTCTCTGGTCATCTCCAGTACTATGTCCGCAGCAGTCTCTGGTCATCTCCTGTACTATGTCTGCAGTCTCTGGCCATCCCCTGTACTATGTCAGCAGTCTCTGGTCATCTCCTGTACTGTGTCCGCAGTCTCTGGCCATCTCCTGTACTATGTCCGCAGTCTCTGGTCATCTCCTCTGTACTGTGTCCGCAGTCTCTGGTCATCCCCTGTACTGTGTCCGCAGTCTCTGGTCATCTCCTGTACTGTGTCCGCAGTCTCTGGTCATCTCCTGTACTGTGTCCACAGTCTCTGGTCATCTCCTGTACTAAAAATGTCCGCAGTCTCTGGTCATCTCCTGTACTGTCTGCAGTCTCTGGTCATCTCCTGTACTGTGTCCGCAGTCTCTGGTCATCTCCTTGTACTATGTCCGCAGTCTCTGGTCATCTCCTGTTACTGTCCTGCAGTCTCTGGTCATCTCCTGTACTGTGTCCGCAGTCTCTGGTCATCTCCTGTACTTTGTCCGCAGTCTCTGGCCATCTCCTGTACAAGTCGTCTGGCATCTCCCTGTACTGTGTCCGCAGTCTCTGGTCATCTCCTGTACTGTGTCCGCAGTCTCTGGTCATCTCCTGTACTGTGTCCGCAGTCTCTGGCCATCTCCTGTACTGTGTCCGCAGTCTCTGGCCATCTCCTGTACTGTGTCCGCAGTCTCTGGTCATCTCCTGTACAGGTGTCCGTAGTCTCTGGTCATCTCAGTACTATGTCCCGCAGTCTCTGGTCATCTCCTGTACTAATGTCCGCAGTCTCTGGTCATCTCCTGTACTTTGTCCGCAGTCTCTGTCATCTCCTGTACAATGTCCGCAGTCTCTGGTCATCTCCTGTACTGTGTCCGCAGTCTCTGGTCATCTCCTGTACTGTGTCGCAGTCTTGGTCATCTCCTGTACTGTGCTCTGCAGTCTCTGGTCATCCCTCTGTACTGTGTCTGCAGTCTCTGACCAACTCCTGTACTTGTCTGCAGTCTCTGGTCATCTCCTGTACTATGTCCGCAGTCTCTGGTCATCTCCTGTACTGTGTCCGCAGTCTCTGTTCATCTCCTGTACTGTGTGCCGTCTCTGGTCATCTCCTGTACTGTGTCTGCAGTCTCTGGTCATCTCCTGTACTGTGTCCGCAGTCTCTGGTCATCTCCTGTACTGTGTCCGCAGTCTCTGGTCATCTCCTGTACTATGTCCGCAGTCTCTGGTCATCTCCTGTACTGTGTCCGCAGTCTCTGGTCATCTCCTGTACTGTGTCTGCAGTCTCTGGTCATCTCCTGTACTGTGTCCGCAGTCTCTGGTCATCTACCTGTACTGTGTCCAGCAGTCTCTGGTCATCTCCTGTACTGTGTCCAGCTCCTGGTCTCTTCTACTGAAGTCTCCTCTGCAGTCTCTGGTCATCTCGCTGTACTGTTCCGCAGTCCTCTGTCATCTCCTGTACTGTGGTCCGCAGTCTCTGGTCATCTCCTGTACTATGTCCGCAGTCTCTCTGGTCATCTCCTGTATCTATGTCATGTCTCTGGTCATCTCTACCTGTACTGTACTGTCCGCAGTCTCTGGTCATCTCCTGTACTGTGTCCGCAGTCTCTGGTCATATCTCCTGTACTGTGTCCCGCAGTCTCTGGTCATCTCCTGTACTGTGTCCGCAGTCCCTCCTTGGTCATCTCAAGTACTATGTCTGCAGTCTCTGGTCATCTCCTGTACTGTGTCCGCAGTCTCTGGTCAGCTCCTGTACTATGTCCGCAGTCTCTGGTCATCTTCCTGTGCTGTGTCCGCAGTCTCTGGTCATCCACAAGTACTATGTCTGCAGTCTCTGGTCATCTCCTGTACTATGTCTGGCAGTCTCTGGTCATCTCCTGTACTATGTCTGCAGTCCATTGGTTCAGAATATTTATTTTTTCTTGTTTTCCTCCGTCTATAAACCTAGGTGCGTCTTATGGAGTGATAAATACAGTCGTTACATTCCTATTACAAACATTTTCAATGATACTTACCTAATCTTCCGATCCTTGTTGTATTTTTAATACACTTCTTAGCACAATATTAATAAAACATACTAAGTATTAAAATGCTCTCTCTACAGGACCGCAGGCAACTTACCATTAGGGTCCCTCTCGATCGTGTCTGCAATGATGGAAAAATGTCCACCCGGACAAAAATGCCATAAAGCAATGGGAAAAGCGCTCTGTGTGAATGTCTCAAAAGCCACAAGCACCTTATTGAAAAAACGGGGCCTTCAATGTGACCTTCGGGAGACCAGAGCACACAAGATGTTTCATAAATGAACGATTATTTTATTTGTTCAATGTTCAGATCAGGGAACAAATAAGTCCTAATAAAAAGTATACAGAGCATGATAGTTATAGTGCCTAATTTTTGGGATGGCAACGCGTTTCGTGGAAACCACTTCACCCTGAGAGGGGAGCTGATCATCAAAATGTTGAAGTACAGCTCTACAAATGAAACATTCATAAAGACAAAGGAATCACATATCCTGAAAATAACAATAACACAATACCAACAGTCACATAAAACATAGAAGACAATCAGTGGTGTATTTGGGTTGAATGCTACCCTACGCAACAAAAAATTGGCTCCCCCCCAACAGAGAGAGACCCTGACACCGACCAAACACCTCCCTCCCCCACGAAAGAGAGCTGACATTGACCAACCAACAACACCCAGCCTCCCGTACACTGGCAAGAAGGCAAATCATAAGATAATGCAATGGGGTTGATTTACTAAAACTGAAGAGTGCAAAATCTGGTGCAGTTGTGCATGGCGGCAATCAGCTTCTAACTTCAGCTTGTTCATCTTTTAAGCTTTGACAATAAAACCTGGAAGCTGATTGGTTTTTATGCACAGCTGCACCGGATTTTGCTCTCTCCAGTTTTAGTAAATCAACCCCAATAGGTCAATAAAGATATTCAAATGGGCAGCACAGTGGCTAAACGGTTAGCACTTCCACCTGGCATTACTAGGGTCATTGGTTTGAATCCAACCACGGCACCATCTGCCTGGAGTTTGCATTTTCTCCCTGTGCCTGCGTTGGTTCCTCCCACACTCCAAAGACATGCTGGTAGGTGATTTGGCTTCTGTCTAAATTGTCCCTAGTATGTGTATGAA